GGTCTGTGATGGGTATCCGGGGTTCTCTGTCACGGTCTGTGATGGGTACCCGGATTCTCTGTCACGGTCTGTGATGGGTACCCCGGGTTCTCTGTCACGGTCTGTGATGGGTACCCGGGTTCTCTGTCACGGTCTGTGATGGGTACCCGGGGTTCTCTGTCACGGTCTGTGATGGGTACCCGGATTCTCTGTCACGGTCTGTGATGGGTACCCGGGGTTCTCTGTCACGGTCTGTGATGGGTACCCTGGTTCTCTGTCACGGTCTGTGATGGGTACTCGGATTCTCTGTCACGGTCTGTGATGGGTATCCGGGGTTCTCTGTCACGGTCTGTGATGGGTCCGAAGGTTCTCTGTCACGGTCTGTGATGGGTACTCGGATTCTCTGTCACGGTCTGTGATGGGTATCCGGGATTCTCTGTCACGGTCTGAGATGGGTACCCGGGTTCTCTGTCACGGTCTGTGATGGGTCCGGAGGTTCTCTGTCACGGTCTGTGATGGGTATGAATTTTCTCTGTCACGGTCTGTAGGGGGTGGGGGGGGGGGGGGGGGGAGTGGGTCCAAAATTTCTACCCTAAACACTTCAACACTCCTTTCAGATCGTGTTTCACAAAAACAAATATTCAATTTCGAGATATTGTTTATATGATATGAGAGTAAAAGTGTTTGTGTTAATTAAGATACAACAGAATTTATTGTAACTTTACAACATAAAAATTTCTTTAATTCTCCTCGAAATGTTTTTCCTGTCAGTGTAAATATATAAAATGATATTGCACTGTTCATAAAAGTAGTAGTTATAAATAAAATATTGAGAAACCTTTCCAATTGTTGCTGTTGTTGTGATTTATAGTAATTTCTCGTTAATACATTATACATACTTTGTAAAGAAATTGGTAATGAGATCATAATCGAACAGATGACTTGTACAAGAAGCATAACAGTCATTTGTACTGATGTTTTTCTATTATTTTGTATATTATTTGTTTGAGCTATACGTCGTCGACTAGTTCGTACGTTATGAATAGTCAGTAAACCAAATATTAACATTAGACAACATGGAAGAAAAGAATATGTAAGAAAAAAAAAGAACTAATAAATAATTGCCATGTTGTAGAAATGGTTACACAATTTGATGAAGGTAACTCGTATACTCCATCATAACAATACAGCATCGGATCATAAATAAGATGCATAATACAAATTATACTAAGAATAATTCGTTTAGCTATTTTAATCTCACCAATTGATCTTATTCGTACATTTGAAGAACTTGATGCCCATCGATCCATACATGCTCCAATTATAAGCCACATTGATGCAGATAAATTGCCATAGGTAAAATATGATCGAAATTTACAATAGATAGAAGCTGATAGTGTTGTTCGAGGATTAACATCAAATGTTGATAAAAGTCGTGTGAGACACCCGACATAAAGTGCAATAAAATTTTCACATGTCGCTGCCAGAAAATACCATGAACAAGAAACTGAACGAAGTTTCGAACGTGTAAAAATACAAATATTAAGTGTATTACCAAATGTTCCAAGGATAAGTAGAACGGTACAAAAATAACGTATAAAATAGAATTCAATTATTTTATATGGGTTTGTTGGCGGTGGCAACGACGACATTTTGTAATAAGATAAGAATATAAAAATAATGTTCCCTTTTATAATCTTCTAGACAGATAGAACATATTCCCATTACCACTGTTAAAAATAATTTTTTTTTTCATAGATTTTATCTTAATTTATGTTGACATGTTTGAGAATGTTTTGATTATCTAGTGCGTCACTTTCTTTGCATTCTTAATATTTTCTAAATATTTGTTTAATATATCCATATATGACAGTTTTTTGTTTATATCATATTTGTAAAACAAAATTTGCCTATTTGAGTATAAAAATGAAGCTTTTGACATCAACGTTATCTTGTGTCCGAGATATATTGCTTTTTTAAACGAAGTTTGATTCATTTAGGATTTAGATAATTTTTGTATTTCAGTTATGAACAAATAGATATAAAATAAAAATACTGCCTTATCTACAATTCATTATTTTTTTTAAAAGTTCCATTGAAAAGTATAGCTTTATTACAGATTGCAACAAGGACGCATAAAAAGATTCTTTGGGAAAAACATTCACAGAAACATATAGAGCATATTTATTCTTGTCCCTGAAAAACCTATCTATTATTGAGACAGTGCATTTTTTTTTCAATCTTTCCGCTTGCATGATTTGTCAATTTACCTCTCCAATAACCAATCTTTTCACTTGTATGATTCCTGAGTTTTCCTCTCGACGAACTAATCATTTCAAATTATCTTATCTTCATTATTCAAATTATTCAAAAAAGTCTTTTCCACATAACGTTCAAAACAAAGAATCCAAAAGACTTTCATTTTATCTCAATGTATTATCAAATCTTGACAATTTTGTAAAAATTTAAATAGACTTGGCTTACATCAATATGTTCTTTCTAAATACCCACAATAGGTTGTAATTAAACACGAAATATTTCATAATCAGATACCAAATGGTACATCATTTGCTGATGCCATATTATACTTTGATCTTTTAATGATGCTATTTCACCAACAGCAACACCTTCGAATAGAGAGAAGATACGATTTAATTAGCTATCCATGTCGTCTTTTTTTTGTGAAAACCGTCGGTTACCACTGCTTAAGAGAAAAATCGTCAGTAACCTATGGTTTGAATCAAAACCGTCAGTTAACCGCGGTTGACCGCTGGTAAAAATCTAATCATCGGTTAACTCCGGTTAACCGTTGTTTTACGTCCAGTTATATTGAAACAGTATGATATTGTTTTTTTTTATTTACTTTTGAACCAACGGATTACTCAAATGTCAGTATAAATTAATAAAATATAGAATTATTTTTCTTTTATTTAGAGGATGGGGTTGTGGGTGTGGGTGGGTGGGATGTGAGTGGTGTGTGTGGGTGTGGGTGTGGGTGTGGGGTGTGGGTGGTTGTGGGTGTGGGTGTGGGTGAGGGTGTGGGTGTCTTCTCTCTATTGGCCATATCCACACCCACACCGACACCCACATCCAGATCCACACCCACACCCACATCCAGATCCACACCCACACCCACATCCACACCCACGCCCATCCACACCCACCCACACCTACACCCACACCCACACCATCCACACTCACACCCACACCCACACACACCCACACCCACACCCACACCCATGTCTTATTTATCTATTGTAATAATATACATAATGCTGATTTTCATTTCTTATTTTTTTGCATTGGTAATAAAGATAACAGTTTGTTTTATTCTCGATTTTTGTATATTGTTGACATATAAAATGTTTTTAATTGTTAATTTTTCTATATTGATAATAGAGAAAATCCTAATTTGTATTTCTTAGTTGTCTATATTGGTAACATAGAAGACCCTTTTTCTATTTTTCTATTATTATCAATATAGAAAAATAAGATTTAAAACTAACTGATATTTATATTATCAATATAAATAAATAAGAAATATAAAATAAGACTTTCTATATTATTAATATAAAAAAATGAGGAATAAAAATAGGTTTTTCTATATTACCAATATAGAAGAATAAAAAATGAAAATCAAGATTTCCTGTATAAATGATATAAAAAACTAAGAAATGAAAGTAACTATTGTCTATATCATCAATACAGAACAATAAAAGATAAAAATTAAGATTTTCTATATTATCGCTATAGAGAGATCAAAAGTTAAGATTGAGATTTTCTATAATATCAATATAAAAAATGAAAAATAATAAATAAGATTTTCTAAACTATCAATTTAGGAAACCAAAAAATGAAAATTGAGATTCTTATATTATTGATATAGAAAAATAACAAATAAAAGTAACTGTTATCTATTTTACGAATATAGAAAAATAACAAATAAAATCAACTGTTATCTATATTATCAATATAGAAAAATTAGAATTGAAACTAATCGTTATTTATATTATCAATATAGAAAATAAGAATTAAAAAATATAACTTTCTATATTATTCATATAGAAAAATGACACGTTAACATGGGATTCTCTATATTGCCAAAATAGAAAAACAAGAAATAAAAATCAGAATTTCTATACTACCAGTATAGGAAAATGAACAATAATGAATATGATTTTAGATAATATCAAATATAAAAAAATAAAAAGTAAAAGTTAAGATTTTCTATAGTAGCATTATAGAAAAATCAAAAATCAACATTAGGATTTTCAATTTTATTAAATGTAGAAAGATTAAAATTAAATTCCCATTTCCTATGCTATCAGTTTAGGAAGATAAGAAATGAAAGTTAAAATTTTGTATATGATGACAAGAGAAAAGTACGAGAACAATTAGGTGCACAACTTAATCCTGTTTTTTAATGACTCTTTTTCATAGTAAAACTAATCGAATCAACAATTCTCGAATAAGTTAAAGAACAGGAGAGACTATACACCATCAGGTAAGAATTACATGAATCTTATATGATCTGATAAGACCTGAGAAGAAACATTCAGTCTGTACTTATATGTTTCCTAATCTTTAAATCTTGTAAGATTTTTGCTGACATCGTGTGGTCAGAATCGGAGGAAGTCTTAAAAAAATGAACACATAAGAAGTCATATAATCTTGTGACAAGCTCATAGAGAAAGTATTATAAAGAGTAAGATCTTTTCAGTTCTTGCATGATCTGATGTCAGGTTTTTGACCTGGGAATTTACGACTAACTGACGACCATATGCATTCGTATACTACACTTGTACAGGATAGTCGTTTATTTTCAACGTATACGTTGATCGTATTTGAACGCGTAGTATCGTATACTATGACCGTTTCTACACGTATTTCTTCGTATACGACCGTTTGCGATCATGTCTTTTCGACCTGGGAGGTTAACATGTTAAGAATTAATTATTCATGAGTTGTAGATATTCTAATCGAGGCTGCAAGCGATCTTTCAAGAAATTTCGTTGAAAAAAAATTGTTTTTGATGTTTGTCACTCGATGAAAAAAGAATTTGTTCGACACTTACAAAATTTATTAAACAAACTTCAGACAACATATTTGGAAAACCTATAATATGTGATTCGATGCATCTTTATCTTCTCTTTCAAACGGTAAGAGCTACAGGACTCTATCTTGTTCTATCAAATGTTATTCAAAAATATTTATTCGGCCTTTTTCAAATATAATTAGTAGTGTCATCACGTTTTAAAGAAAACCAGCTCCTATGGTAATTTCATGATTACAATATTTTTAATAATGATCAAATAGTTCAGAATAATAGAGCCTGGTTTTCTCTATTACTAAATAAAAAAAGAAAATTTCTCTAAGTTTTCTATACGTAAATAAAGTACTTTTGCTACTGTTTTTCATTTGTTCGAAGTAAATAGACTTGAAGCATATACTTGTATCAATACTGTATAGAAAATCTGTCGGAATACTTTTATTTTATACTTTGATATTGACAACGTGTGCTTAAAATTGCAGAAAATCATTTTACAATTTTTCTTTTCGATATTTTTTACTTTCGGCGATTCTTTTCATTCTACCAAATCGATGCATACCAACATACCTATCCAGTGTCTGACACCAATCAATTTCTCCAGCAATTTTTACAACTCTTTTCTCACTTTTTCTCTTCGTATTCAAAAGTCAATAACATTTTTGTAAACTGCAAAGACAACTGTTGAAATAAATATAGAATAAATGCTAGAATAAACAGTATGAGAATAAAACTTGACAATCTAAACGGAGAAGTCGTCTCAAAAAAAAAATACACAAAATACATCGACAATAAAATCTAGTTATCACTACAATCCATATAATAACTTACTAATTACATGTAATGGGAAGCAGACGATACAGACTAAAATATGAATAGATACCATTTTGAAATAAACAACACACATATGGAGATAAAAATGGTTTTGTAATTGAAGAAGAAAACACGCTGTGAATTATTCATCTTGTAACAAGAGAGCTTTTTTTTCGTGTTATTAAGTGTTGATTTGTGTAAGAACGCCATACGATCGTTAAAAAGGCTCTTACACAAGGAAAAAACAAACATTCTTTAGTTTATCTCCATTTGTTTATATCAAGTCAAACATATATGCGGAACAAAATATGGATGACATTCAATGTCAATTAACAATAATCACTGCCGCATATGTTAGACCTCTGAGATCTATCTGATTTTCTTGGATAAAACGACGTTCTTTACAGTGAGAAGAAAAAACTTTTCTGATACGTAGTCAATAATCAAGAAAATATATTTTCTGCTCTCGCCATAAGGTATTTTCTATATTTATTACTCCGTCGTTTAGTCTATAGTGATAATCTATTCACTAGTTCTGTGTTAGTCGCTTGCATTCACATATATCTGGTAGGTAAGTTGTGATGTATCATCAATGTCTCTAGATCTTATTAACAATACTCGTTAGATCTTTTTTGTTTCAATACAACTTTAGTGTATCGATAGTAGAGTTCTAATGTTTATGATGTTCATTCTAGTATGTAGGATTTAATTTCTTCAAAAGTTATTCTTGTAGTCTATAAGAACGTGATGTACTTTAGAAGAAATAAGAGGCAAGAAAAGAATAATGCTATT